ATTATCGACTTGTGACAGACAGGCAGTGGGCCGAGAAACACCCTTGCCAGTGGATTTCGTCCATCTCCACAGTGGTCAAAATTTGTTGTTTTTCAAATGGGGATAATTTATCTATTTATGTTCATCCCCAGATGCTATTTTTCACAGCAACTATTCACACTCATCAAACCGGATAGCGGGAAGTATCAGTGCAAAATCCAATCGGACGGGCAAGTCATTGCTAGCCGACGAATGCGCCTAGATGTTCAGGGTGAGTACAATATGGAGAACGCGCTCGGTTAACTGGTGTGCTTATAGCATTTCTGTTCACCAACTTAGATACTGTTTTCCGTATTTCATTTTGCGTGCTTTTATCATTTCATTTCCTTCCAGACGACAGTATCTTCGTCCCAAAGCAGACGTTTCAATACTTCGTTGATAGCGGTTCGAATGTGACCTTGGATTGCACTGTAAAGAACAATTTACCCATCTCAAATATATCGTGGCGTCGTCTTGCCAATCCATCGAGTGATTTTGCGGGTGAACCAGACGAAGTGCTATCTGGAAGTCAGCAGCTAGTAAGTGACACGCATGTGGCCACGTGCTAGCGCATTTTGTGTATACATCTTGGACCAAAGTGCTGGCCTATTTCTGTAAAGACCACATGCTGCTTTGCGCGGATTCAGTTCGGCATAAGTACCTGATGTAAAAATACACTGAAACCAAGTTCATGGGTAGAAATCCTATAAATATATGTAGTATTTTCAAAGTTTAGTACCATTTCTTCGTATCCCAAAAGAGCCCCTTTGATTCAAGAGCCTGAGAGGCATTTCATCTCATGCACTCATGAAACGGCTCACCCATGCGTCTGCATACCATATGTCTACTTGAATGAAAGAAACCTTAAGATCTTGTAAGGTTATACCAACACATAGGTAATTATTCACCAATTATTCACCGCTCCGCCTCAGTGAACATGAGTTCCAAAAAAATACTGGGGCAGTATTACTGCTATGGACAGATCATATGTTTTAAGATCAACCAATTTGGATAAATTCACACCAGTCAATTAAACATTCACATTCAGTTTTGTACCACTTCCCTCCCTCTGTTTGACCCTCATTACGTGTTACACTGGATGGATCCGCAGTTTATATGTTAACGTTTTGATCATCGCTCCTGGACCATTCGCTCCTTAGCCCTCTTTAGCAAACTACTTGGCCTCAACACATTTGATGCATACGCATCCCTAATCCACCCACAAAGCAACCCCTACCACTGTCACACGTCATTTATCAGTCTGAATGTGGATGCGGGACATCTTACATTAGCAGATCAGGTAGGCAGTTGTATACACGGATCCAAGATCACATCCCATGTTGGGTTAGACGTCGGTTGACCGAAGCACATGATTCAATGCCATTCTCCAATTTGATCCATCAACCAACACACACCGATCACCCACCATTAAAACACTTTACTCAAAGACACTGAACACAATAGCTTCCTGCGCCATCTATCGTTCGACGTTTGCTAATGACGAATCATGGTCCGGACCCGATAAGCCGTTTTAAGGTCATTTGTGCTATTACCAACCCTCGGCTGTTTAGGTTTGTGGAGTCGGTTGCAATCAGGGGATGGAAACCTGGCCTGCATGTTTAAAAAGGGCTGTCACCTACACTGTCACCCCCTTGGTAGTGGTAAAAGTGTGGTGATTCGTCCCTGTCGTATTCTTGTGTAATCTGATGTACTGTTCACGGATATAAATTGTCGTTTTCTGCCCTATTGTACCAGTTAAGATGTAGCGAAATCTGTCTTGGTA